TATTTAAAAGAATACGTAAGGCGTAGAATTTATCCCATTTACACTCATCTTATCAATCGGTTGATTTGTGTTATCAACTATCGAATAGCTCTCGTACCCGATGTTCTAACTTTTAGCTCGATATGCACCCGTCACTCTCTCTTGCCCTTGACCTTGTCCTTGGATTGCATCAACTACGTACGTCGATCGAACTACGTTAGCTATTGTAGGCCTTGGAAAAAGCTTTTGTTACTTCAAATTACTACACCAACAATTCGTTCACTAAATCCATACATCAAACCCAAAAAAACTACTGAATTTCTATTTAACGCCCTAAGTTTTTGAATTTGTCGCCCTAAACCATACCAATCTGACCCTTTTACCCCTAACCTTCATTTATAACAAAATAAAAAAAGCCCTAAATGTAACCCGCCGTCAGCCAGCCGCCTCCCAAACTTGCGCTCCACCCACCTACCGGTCACCGTCCACCCCCAAACCGACGCCCGTTGCCGCCTCCCACCTCAACTTGATCGCCGCCAAACCCAACTGCCAACCTTTTGTCGAGCTCGAGGAAGAAGACGGAAACTCTTCCCCTTTGAGAAGGACGGAAGAAGAACGACGGAAGCCTCCCGCCTGCCATTTTTTTTTGGTTCAGTGTTCACTCGCCGGATTTCCGCCGCGGTTGGGATGGGATTACAACATGTCCCTCACCGTCAGAGACGGGTTTTCAACCTTCCGGCGCAGGCAGGGAGCCCGTCCGGTGACAGGTTTGAGCCGCCTCCCACTTCTTGCGCAGGTATCCAACTCTGTTCGAAGAATTCCCACGTGTGAAGGAAGGATGCAGAGAGCAGCCATTGATGACGAGCTTCAAGGACGAGTCGACCTGGGCTTCCTTTCACCTTGGTCGAAGAAGAAAGAGCTGCTGGACCAAACGACGCCGCGTCTCCTAAGTAGTCAACTCTACAAGACAGAACGGCGTCACATAGAAGAGATGTTAGTAAATAATGTAACGCCAAGTGGCGTGGTAGTAGTGGCTAGCTTAGTTACCGTTATCCTACAGTAATTCTACTTTACCTTTCTGTTTTGTAGTGTAGTGGTGAATAGGCAGAGAACGATGTATATACACTCTTCAGAAAATGGAATGAAGCCATTCTGGCAAATTCCCCAACTATGCTTTTCTTTGGTTTTCTGATTTCTGCCCTCATCATCGGTTAGGGTTTCAACCTTTCTCACCACGCGCTAGAATCCCATATCAGCTCAATCTTTTCTCCAGTTTCTTCCTTCTTCCAAGTTCTCTAGTCATCCCTCGAGTAGTCGAGTTGTATAAAAGCAGCACAAAGGTTTCAATAGAACTCTTCTGCACAAAGCTGGGAACTTTCTCACCTTCTTCCCCTGAACCCCGGCCGCTGACCGCTGCTGCAAAAGAGCTCCGCCCTCCAAAGCCAGACAGTAGCTCCTGCTAGCGCAGCTGTAATCACCTGCGACCGCAGCCATCGTCGTCGAGTCCCTGTCATCCGCTTTTTTCTGGTGATTGGATTTGGAAAGCGCTTTAACATCTTATCACTGAGAAGCTTATAGTTGCAGTTCTATACTCCGCCGTCCCGAGCTTCCCCAGTAATTTATTTTTTTCCCCTTCATCCTTCCGCTCATTCTCCCATCGATTATCGGCGCAGTAACGAAAGAAACAATATGTAACAGTAGATCTCCAAATTCGTGATGAGATATGATATCCGGTAGAGAGATAACTCCCGGTGTGGTCGGATTAAGTTCAGAGAAAGCCCAGAAAGGACAGGGGAGGGGCTCAAGATACGGTGCATAACCATGGGTTATGCACCCATCAATAACCAAATCTGGACCCTTCATTTAGAAAATCCAGATCTAAGGATGGAGAATTAAAGACTATTTTTATTTTCACTAGCCTTCTTAATTGACTCATATCTTTTTCGTTTTAACTCGGATTTTAATTTTTTTTGCACAGATGGAACGAGTTCACCGTGCTCTACTAAATGAGATCAATTTTCAATATTTTTTTAGGAAAAAAAATTCTGGCCTCTCGGTACCAATTGCATACCATATGGTATCTTCTTCGTTTTTAATTCGTTTTTGAAAACGTTTGCACAGCAGGGATGAGTTCATCATGATCTACTGGATCTACAAATCTCTGGGTGAACAAATTACAGGACCAAAAAATACCACACAATACCATACAATACCACCCTGGTACGGGGTGGTATTTTATGGTATCTTCTTCATTTTTAATTCGTTTTTGAAAACGTTTGCACAGAAGGGACGAGTTCATCATGATCTATTGGATCTACAAATTTCTGGGTGAACAAATTAAAGGACCAAAAAATACCACACAATACCATACAATACCACCCTGGTACGAGGTGGTATTGTGTGGTATACAATGTTAAAAGTCGTAAATTACAATTAATATACTTCTACTATAATGTATTCAACCATCCTACAGTATTGGTTTGTTCATACCACCATGGTACGCTTTTCAAACCATAGGTATGCTCTTATTTCAATACCAGTCAATACCATATGGTATAGACTGGTAAAAAATGACTCAATTTTTTTTGTTCGAAAAATATATCAAAGTGGATATCATTTTGAAGAGCACAATTAATCTGATCTAACTGAGCAAAAAAAATTAAATTTCGACTTAAAATGAGCGAGAAATCGTCCGCCAAAGATTAAAGAGGGAAAAATTAAAGGCTTTCCATGAGAGAGAGAATGCTGATGTCATGCTGATTTAGACGAGTTACTCATAGTTACTCACCATAAGGTTACTCACCTGATCCATTCCCCAGAGGAGGGGCGGCGATAATTTTTAGGAATTAACTTTAATTGAGGCTAGGGTTAGCATAGTCATTTTGGTGTAGTTTAGGGCGACTTTTTCGAATTGTTAGGGCGATAAATAGTACCTCCCAAAAACTATCCACCAAACTCATCTGCCCCATTCCATGTAATTATATAATAATCATGGGTGAGGTAATTCGTTTACCTCCATCCAATTCCCCACCGCCATGCACTAATCAGGAGAACAACAAACGTAAGCGGTTTACCTTGCAATTTTTGCCTTCCTCCGCTTGGCTCCACAACCCAATAATCACTTCTCCTTAGCGCCTCCTCCATTCTCCAATAATCCCTCTCGTCCCCTTTCGTCCGGTAAAATTGGAACGTGGTGGTGACAAATTGACAATGGAAAGGCTTGGGGCGATGAAGTCTCTCCTTGCTCCTCTGCCAAAAGCTATTCACGGTGGGGAAGGAATAATTAAAAAGGAGGGTTTTTAATTAGCTTCGGGTGAGGCCCTGTGAGGTTACAAACGAGGGTTTTTAATTAGTTTGAGACTTTGAGGTGAGGCTGAGTGAGAAGTAGGGTTAGGTTTAATTTTCTCGGGGTTATTATGGGAATTTCCTAATTACGGGTGAGTTTAATCTGAAATTCAGTTAACGTCAATAACTTTCTCATTTGATGTCGAAATTCGACACTGCTTGAACCGCTAGTTCACATTTTTAGTCCTCCTCGACATTACGGTGAAATTTGACAAATTTGGACCAAGGATATAATCGTCATTTCGGCTTAGAAAAAGATGGGGTGTAACATTATATTTATATACTAAATATAAAATATGTTAGAGAAAAAATATGATTATTTTTAGACAAAATACATATAAATGTGTACAATCGCATGTATTTGGGTTGGATAGTGAGAAAATCATGCATACCCATTGCCTACAATATTCGGGTTCGATTTTACCCGTACCTACTAAAAGTACTTCGGATTCAGGTTTTACCCTACTCGATTATATCAGATTCAGGCGGTTATCCACTATTACAGATATTTTTGCCATCCTTACTCAGAGTCTACAACCAACTCTTCATTAGTTTAATCAAATTGACCACCGTAGAAGGGTGAGAGCAGTGATTGACTCTAGGCGTTCATAAGGTGATGTCCTCACCATCCATGTGCTTGGTGGAAGCAACAGGTTGATGTCTGCAGTTCTAGAGACATGAGCTCCATCGAAGAGAGGAGCTCTGCCACCCAAACTCAAGAGTAGCAACAACATACTCCACATCCATGCCCTTAGGATTGCTCACCTCGTCTTCCCAATTAAAGCAAGGATGAAGAAGCTCTATCGTTTCTATTAGACGTTTCTTCTTCTTCCTAAGTCGAATAACCTTCAAATCACTCATGCAAATGATCTCTAAATTTTTTACCACTCAATCTACTCTGTTGATGGCAGGAGGTAGTTCAATAGTCAATACCCATACCTGCCTTACACTACTTGCCTCACAATGTATTTTATATATTATTCGAAGAAAATGTTTAATTTTTAATGATAAAATAAAGGAAAATAGTTTGTTCATAAAATATAGAGATAATAGATTAATTAAATTACATTAGTTGAAAGATGAAGTCTTGTACTTATTGAAAGTATCATTAGGTAAAATATGAGTCGATGTAAGTGAAAATAGAAGAAATAAAAACATATATTGTAACAACTCAAGATACAAAAGGTAAAAAATGAAACGGAGCAGGGAAGAGTGAAAATAATACCCATATCCGACCCACGAAACTGGAAATCAAGTACTATATGCTCCAACATAAATTAAATCAGATAATACCATGATTTTAAGACCGTACCGAAGGTTGTATAAAAAAAGTCAACGATAAAATATTTTATAATAAATTTGTGATTTAACTATTTCATATCGCTAAATACCGCCTAGTAATTTAATATTCGAATATAATTTTTTTTCCCCATCGATCACTAATACGGTAGGATTGTTCATTCTTGCATAATACAGAAAGAAACGATGGACTGCTGCATCTACAAGTCCAATTAAGATTAGGGTGACATAAGATGGACGAATCGGGCCGTACACGTGTCCGTGAAGCCGGGAATGAAGCTTGGCCTCGCAAGTTGGTACTTGGTAGGGCACAGCGACAGGGAGGGCTTTGGGGCGGAAACTGAGAGAGAGAAAGGGTAAAAAGGAAAATCAAACAAGAAACGGATGAACGGTAAATATAATAAAAATAAAGTAAAATATACATAAAAGAATAAACGGGATTCGTTTGATTTAAAAAAAAAAAAAAAAACGAGAAAAGGAGAAGACGGTGCGGGAGAGAAATGGATTGGGGTGCGCAGTACTCGTCGAGGCGCACGTTAGAGGTCATCCTCTATATCTCTGGGTCCTTCCGTTTCCGCTTCTTTATCCCTGAAAACCTAGACGCACGAACCTCCCCCTACCTGTTGTTTCGCTCGCATTCTCCTCCCCCCCGCGTAGATCTGAAGGCTTGTTCCACTCGCCTCCTCTCTGTCTTTCGCTGCGTTTTCGGTTTTGACGAAGATCGGCCTCCGAGGGTTTCTTCTGTGGAAACCGCTCTTTTTTCCCATCCGATCTCCTTGATTTTCAGAAGAACTTTGAGGTAATTGATTGTTTTTGCTGTTGGGTTTTTTTAATTTTGAAGCGATTTGATGTCTGGTTTTGCCGGTCGCGGCTGCTTTTCATCTGGTTTGTTGGGTAGATGGATTCACTACCTCGCATCGGCATTAGGTTTTCTGCGCATGAGGTTTCAGATAAATTGGCGATTTTTAGCTTGTGCATCAATCAATTTCATTTTTTGTTCTACAAAATATCATGTTTCCCTCCGTGGTGAATCAATCAGTTTGCGGTTATGATTGAATTTTCCCTCAATGCTAAAGATGAGAGCTTTGGACGCCATTCTTTCTTGTGCCAAAATCGTCCGTCTCGACATCAGAAGCTGAAAGGAGTTTACTTTTTTTCTTTTTCTTTTTTCCAGATTTAATAACCATCCAGAAGTTGAATTTCTTGATTTTGTGGATAGCGGGTATCAGCTGAGTAGCTGCAATGCCGGCCCATGTTGATGTAAGCATATTACCTTCTTATGTTGATGAGGTTCTGCTACTTTGATGTTATCGTTGTTCCTCAATGGGGATAATATTTCTGTAGAAATATGAAGCATATGATGACTATGCGGATGAACTGGAAGAGGATGAAGAGGAGGAGGAGGAATATGAGCAAGAAGAAGAAACGAAACCTTCTGCTGAAGAACTGGAATATCTTAATTACAGAGAGCTGAAGAAGGCACAAATTAGGAAGAAGATGCAGAAGGAATATGGGGCAGCTGCTGCTGGGTCCCAAGATAATAAGAGAAAACCTTATCTTGAAAGGTCTGTTATGGGCTTTGATCCTCCTTCATTACTGGGTGACTCCCGTTCATCCTTCTGGTTTATATATCTTGGAAGATATAAAGTCTGGAATAATATTTGTGGCTGTTAAATAATGTCCATGCACTGTCATTGACGGTTGATAATTTGTTAATTCTGTCTCTCTCTGCAGTTTTGGTTCATTTTTCGGCCCCTCTCAGCCAGTTATCGCCCAGAGAGTTATCCAGGAAAGCAAGTCGTTGCTGGAGAACCCACACTTGGCAATGAAAGTTATCAACTCACAGCGTAATGTACGTGTTATGCCTGCTTATTCTTCTTAGGATATCAATGTATGGCCCATTCATAAGTTTCTTGTGAATGCAGGAAATTAGCTTAATATTCTTCTTAGGATATTGCTCATGTGGCTGACAGGTTTGGCTAGAATGACTTAGACTTTTGGGTCGATGCTGGTGTTTAGTCTCGAGAATCTACCATGAAAAGTACATGTGCAAATTTTAGATCTTGAGGTTGTGCTTTAGTAGAGTAAGGTATATGAGAGTGATTAACCTGAAATGATGAACTCATTTATTAATTATAATTAGAGATCTTGCGTATTTACATGGAAAATTCATGATTTCTCTGGTCAATTGGTTTTCCGTTGAGTGTTTTGAGTTGTTTGCTCTCTCCTTCATATGTGGTCCTTGCCCTGAGGATATATGTTGCTCTTTTGGTCGCTATTGATTAGCATATCCTTGATGTCACATAATCTTGGTTACTGCTTCAGGAGAAACGGAGTTCATCCACAGCCACGGCTTCAACGAATGGCGTAACTGAGAGGATGTCGAAAATGAAAATTGAGGTACTAATCACTGAATGGTTGGGGGATAAACCATAGGGAAAGAAAGGGAAGAGGCTCACATTAATATTCTCCTGTAATAATACAATTTCTGTTCTCCTTCAATTCAGCAACAAACAAAAGCCCAGAAACTCAAGGATACAAGGGATTACTCGTTTCTGTTATCCGATGATGCAGCTGTCCCAGTTCCCGCAAAAGATCCTGCTGTGCGAAGAGTGTCTGTTTCTCAGTCTGGTGTGTTTCTGCCCTGTTGCATAGGTCTCATTTGGGGTTCAGTGCTTTCTATTTTTATTGAGAGTAACTTATACAGGTTTTTTGCTGATAAGAGGCACGATCTGCTCAAGTGCAACAGAAGAACAACCAGCCTATGGGCAATGGTTACAGGCATGTTAATGGTGCTCGTGAACAGCAGAGGGGATCAGTTCATGGGAATGGCCAACCACAATTTGGAGCAGGGTCTCGCAAGGCTATTTCAACCTCAGGAGCTAGGCCAAATGCATCACCAGTAGATTCTAGGAGGCAGCTTGCTAAAAACAATGGTATTGGACCGGGACGGCCATCGACAGGTACAATGAAAGGGCCGTCTCCAAAGATTGCTGCTGGTCATGTGGAGAAGAAGACTCCTTTGCCAGCTTCCAAGACCATACTACCCCCAACTCGCAAGCCTCTCCCTTCAAAAATGCAGTCAGGCATTCAACGGCCTCAGTTGGGAACCAGGAGAGTAGTGCAAGAACCTAATAGACATCCTGAGTACAGAAGGATAGTGCAGGATCCAAGTAGGCAGTTAGAGAACAGAAAAGCAGCACAAGAACCCAGTAGATCTAAAACGATGTCAAATCAACAGCCACATTCTAGACCTCAGGTTTGGATGCTGTTCTTTCACCTTTTCCATTGAAATTAGCTCTGGCAGCGTGAAAATTCTTGAAGGGTTTGTATAATTTATTAGTATTGATGACCTCTACAGATGAATAAGCCACCTGTCAGACCAACCTCATCCTACCCTTTAGCACAACAGAGTAGTGTGATTAAAAGGCCTGTTCCACGGCGTCCTGATGATGACCACATTGACCGGTACAGTAAGCCTGTCAAAAGAATTATCTCACATGATGTTCGACCTAAGAAAAAGCATTCTGAGGATGAAGATGCTTTTGCTGAGCTCAGACAGATGTTAGGGTAAAGCCACTCATCCTTCATCTTCTTACTTTTTTGTTATGTAATGTTGTTTAGCAGTTGAATTTGTGCCTAATGATTTTCTCAGTGGTCACGCATTTTCTATTTCTTTGTGTTGCTTCTTGTTCTATGTTGATTGCGCCTATGGTCATGGTTAGACAAGTGACGTGTGAGTTGCTCTGTTACTGAGCAAAGGTTTTTCGGAGGGGCAATGCATTTAGACAAGGTTTTTGGTTCAAGGGCTATTGTATGTATATTAGTAGTGCTGTGAGTCTGTGCTGTCATTGCTTTCGGTCGTTGGTGATGTGCAGACTTGTTGGGTCGTCCCTGGTCAGTTTTAGGGAGTTAATCGATACTCTCTTTTACCCCGTCAACCTTTCTCGACGCAATGCTAAATCCCTCGTGGAATGGTTTCTCAGGAGGCCAAAGTATGCCGAGTATGAAGATGATGATGTTAGTGACATGGAGGCCAACTTTGATGACATAATGGAGGAAGAGATGAGAAGGTTAGTCTTATGGACCCCTTCCTCAATGGTGTCGTTTTGTTTTTCTTTCTGGTGTTGGTTCGCTCAATTTATGGCTTTATGGCCCTTTTTAATATTATTGGCTGCGGTTGTTTTGTGTCTTGTTTTGGCGTGATGGATGATTATGCAGTGAGAGAATAGCGAAGCAGGAGGATGAAGAAGAACTGAAGCTGATAGAGGAAGAGGAGAGGCGAGAGAGAATGCGAAGAATGGCTAAGAAGCGCAAGTTAAGTCGTTAGTGCCCCGTTAGTTTTAGTTTCCTTGTACACAGCAGAGTTACCCTGTCCGCAGCCCTGGTTTGCTGTCCTCAAAAGGCAGGAGGAAAATGAAGAACAAAAGAAGTCGGGACTCATGTAGTTTGAATTGGGTCCTCATTGGCGTTCGATTTCAGTTCAGATTTCCTTAGGGTGTTGTGTAATCACAATTTTTTTAGATGTAATCTTATGGCTAAATAAAATATTGGGTTCTCCTATGAGTGGTTGGTTCTTGAGTCGCCGTTTTCTCTTGAGAAGAAAGACTGCATTGAACTGGATTGGACCTGGCAATTGGGTAGGGTTGGGTAATTTTGGATTGGGAATCTCGGGTTGCAGATCATCATGGATAAGGTCATGTTGAGTTGACTGATATTTGGTTAATATAAGATCCATCGAGAGAGAGTCTCGTGTTATTTTGGGTTATGAGCGTTCTTAAAATAATAAACATATAAACATGTTTCATAAAATTTTAAAGAATGTAAATATTCACATATGTATAAAACTAGTTTACCTATCACACGTAAACTAACACTGCTGAAATCTTTCCATGTTAATGAAAAGAAATATAAGTTGCACATATCTTCAAATAACAATCAAGAAAGTAATACTACTACAAGAAACAAATGAATTTTTTTAAACATTTCACCAATTTATAACTGATTTTATCATTTCAACAATGACATGAAATGAAACGGATTTAGCGGATCGACCAGCTAATCCCCCAAACCCGACCCAAAAACTCTTGGTTAATTGGGTTTGGGTCCTTCGGTTTTGGATTATAAAAATTTTCAACCTATTTTTCATTTTTAGAGCAGGTTCGGGTCAGATCAACAAATCGGGTCGTGATTTGGCAGGTGTAACCTGGATTCTTTTATTCATACTATATGTTTGGCAAAGTGAGAGCGGGAATTTATTCAATTTCAACTTTCAAGGTAAGTATACATCATAGCTACACTTGCTTGCGGGCGAACATGATACATCGCTAACTAAATTTTATGGCCTGTCCATTAGACATCTTGAACTAATGTTAGATAAGAGTTTAGAAAAGTCAAGATGATGGGAAGTTTCATTTTTAATGTAGGTTTATGAAAACTAGACCTATGAATCAACTTCACAACCATTCAGTACTTAGTGAATTACATTTTTATATAACAACCAATACATCATTTTATGTCAAAATACTCGAATCCTAATAAAGGAATATAGAATATTGGCTAATTTTCTCATAGACATAAATCATATATAATGAGTAATAATCTTGATGACTTGATTAAATTATGATAGTTAATTTGATTTTCTTATATGGTGTCACTATGAATTCTTGGTGCATATAAACATAATAACACTCAAACAGTATAACATTATGCTTATGAAATTGTTATATATATTTTGCTTTCAATACGTCCAAATGAATATTTTATAGAAAGCCGACAAGGAATTCTTATAATAACCGGCCGTTTTGATTCTTTGGAACAATTCGACGTGAAGGGAGGGCCTCAATTGCTAGAAAAAACCCGCAACCCCTTGGAGTTATCCTGCATTTGGAAGAAAAAGTAGAAAAAGGAATAAATATAGTGATGATTTGATTTTTCGTCGTTGAGTAAATAGGGGAGAAAATCGAATTTGTTTATTCCCCTTTTCGAAAAAAGAGAGGAGAAATTCACAGTGACACGTTCGTTAAAAAAATCATTTTGTAGTAAATTCTTTATTAATAAAAATAAATAAGTTTACCATAAAGGCAGAAAAAGAAATCATAGTAAAGTGGTCTCCGTCACCTACCATTATACCACAATGATTGGCCATGCCGTAAAATCGATTTTCGACAAAATGAAAAAGACGTATATGGTAGAATCGTAACCATAGAATACGACCCTAATCGAAATGCGTACATTTGTCTCATACACTATGGGGATGGTGAGAAGAGATATATTTTACATTCCAGAGGGAATATAATTGTATATCAAGAGGATTAGCCCCTATAGGGATTTATCATGCAGTAGATCCTTTAGATTCAATGTCTACTATGCTCCAACCTCAGATTGTCGGAGAGGACCATTATGAAACTACACAAAGAGTTAAGCAAACTTTACAACGTTACAAAGAACTCTAGGACATTATAGCCAAATGAAATAAAAAATTCGTGTTCGGTTTTGAATGAGAGACGTTAAAAATAATGAATCAACGTCGACTATAACCCCTATCCTTCCAAGCTAATGAAATAAATGTCTTTCAGAAGAAATAAATGTCCACATTAGTACACTTGGTTAACCTTCTTCATTCTACCACTTCAGGTCCCAATCATTGTTATGTCCCTTAGTTAGCTGGGCGTACCATTCTCATGTTCTCGAAAGAAAGTGATTGGACTAGGCTTTCGTCAGTGATCTTTAGCTGAAAGACCAGATCCTTTCTTCTGTTCCTGAAACTGAATTTTTTTTCATTTGATTAGTTGTCACATTCGAAAGGTGAGAAATTGGCTAGTGTGAAGTTTCCTTTTCTGTTTTGGAAGAAAGGTTCACAGAATAGAAAATTGCATAAGAAACGAAAGGGTTCATAGACAGAAGCCCGAAAGACGGTCCTCTGTTCTTGTTCTATAGAAAATTTACGTAAGAGAAGAAACGACTCGAGGAAGAAGTCCCGCCTAACTCCTTGTTAGCAGTGGTAAGACCGGGAGGGGGGGGGGGGGGTGTTCTTCAGAATGACTAAAGGGTAAGTTTGAGGTAAATCTGGTTGAAAGTGAAAGTTGCAAAAAACTGGCGAAATACTCTCAAAACCATTTCACGTGAGTGAGACTGAGGAGAGGAGAGTGGAATTTCATGTGTAGGGGTGAAATCTGGAGATCTACGAAGGAATGCCAAAAGCGATGACAACTTTATCTGTCCCTATCGACACTGGGGTGCAAAATCATGGGAGCGATCGACTATTTATTTGATCGCAGACATTTATGGAACACCTCCAAAAGAGGGACAAATGGTCAATTTTGAAAGAACTTATTGTCAACCTCTTTCGAGTATGAATCTATCTGATTCAGAAGGGGAGGGGTCGGGGAATTTTTCTCCCATTCATAGATCAAAAATTCCTAGAGATATTTCCATTATTTATCCATTCTTTCCAATATTTTCTATAAGGGTTGGCCCGTCAAAAGACCGCTTCCTTTGCGAACGAAGTTCAAAATCAACACAGATTCATAGAACGAAGGGAGTGTACAACTGGGGTGCAACCCCACTTTTTGTTCGTAACGAGGGAGAGATGAATTTGAAGATAGATTTAAAGAATCCTCCCATCGTAATTGAAAACATAAATACCTTGTCTAATCATCATGCTAAAAATATAATTTTTTTCTTATTCTAATTTGTTGGGGGAAAACAATTTTATAAACAAACAAAAATGACATGCAATCTGCTTAGGTTAGGCAAACACATGCATTTTAGTTACGAAGATTTGTATTTGGAATTAGGAAATTCTATTATATATTTATTTTATCCCAAATACTTGGGTGAATTTCAAATGCATATCAAATATTTGTTGGTGCTTAAGCTAAATAATATCCGAAGCACTAGTATGCTAGTTACGACTTACTTACGAAAAATAATAACAATTCATCAAGAGTGTAGCCAGTCAGAAACCAACCCTTTCTTTGTCCACGAAGAAGGGAAAATAAAGGGTGGAGAAAAACTAGGAGAATTTGGAGGGTTTGGTTAGCTTGACTACCCCTTTAGTTGGTCTAATTTTCGACATGCCTCTAAGATACCGTCCATATAATTCAATGGTAATGAATAATCAGCTGTTTATTGGATATTAATTACATAATTAGTTTCTCTCACCACATTGGAAAAGGGAAATAATCTGGGGAAAAACGATTCCCACCCCAATTCAAAATTCAATACCTTTTTCGTCTGCCCTTTTTTTTTCTCCCTTTCGTCTCTTCTTCTCTCCCTCGATTTCCCTCTTCCCCTGCTCCCCGTAGTCGCCTCTTCCACGCCACAATCCATGTTTTTCAGTCTTCAAGGCATCAATAAGATCCTCTCCCTTCGACTCCGTCCCCCATCCTCTGTCGTGGGCTACGTCTTGGATAGTGGTTGCCGCTGTTCTCCAAGAAACACCAGACTTGCCGCCGTGACTCTCCATCTCCTTGCACAAGCTTGCCACTGCGAAGAGATTGATGAAGAAGACGACGACCCTCTTCACCTTATCAGAGAAGACGACGACCCTACTCCCTTTCCCGATGACGAAGACGAAGACGGTGAAGAGTCTGAGGTAGCTCTCTCTCCCCCACTATCTCTCTACCAAACCCAGATATGGGGTTTTCATGAGGTATTAGTACTAGTGGTACACGTTCACGGCAGCGCCGCCGTCTACAAGACACTGTAGGGTTGCACTTCAAGATAAGGAGCGGTAAGAAACGAGTCGCTGTCGCCCTCCATGTACTTCTTCATCTCCGGTGGGTTCTCCAACGGCGACCAGCAGTCCATCCGGCGGTTGAGAGGCAAGTCTGATCTCATCTTCACCTCCCCGTCATTCGATGTTGCCACAAAAGCAATCGTCCTTGGCATGCCCAGAATTGACGCGCAAAATCTCGGATCTGTCTTCCTTCCCGCCATGGCCTTCGTCTGCTCGATCTCTAGCAATATCCCTGCGTCATGTCCTCCAGCAGTGAGAAATCTACCAGGAGGGTCAGAGGCGATCCCACCGCGGCGATGCCCGATGGTTTCTGGCAGCCATCGAGTTATGTAGAGTAGAGGGTCGGGTTTCTATTTTTTGGGATGAAAGAAGGGGAATATGGGAGCTCAATCGGCACTTTCCCCATCCAACGTGATTTATTCCTTCCCCATGAAAACATAATTATTATGGGAACTTGCCCCATTTGAAAAATTCCAGGAAAAAAACCCCTTCCATTAATACGTACCTTAAGATTCGGTTTGAAATGGATGGCTGATGGTTGGGGATTGAGGTGTCAAAAACCAGACCCCTTTGAAGGTAGACATTTTATCTCATCCCGAATTTGTAAGAAATTAGAACTTTTTTCTTGTTCATAAGGTTTGCTACAATAGTGATTATTTGGGGGGAAATTTCACTATAACAGTTGCTCAACCATTGGTTCTTATTGGGTCTCCTTTCCCCTAAGTTTCTCCTCATTTCTCTCTTCAAAACTGAACACTACTTTCCCCTCATTATTTCACTCTCTCTAAATTTTCCTTCCCCTCCCCAATTTTCTCCCCCTTATTTCGTGAACAAAGCACAAGTGATGCCATGTTCGTCAAGATTCAATCAATGCTAAAGTGATTCGGGTCTAATTGTACATGTTTGCCCCCGTTTTACTTTGGTGTTTGTGCCAAATTCACTCCTAAAAGGTTGGTTTTACGCTAGGTTCCTCGTGTTTTAGTGTGTTTCAGGATTTAACAGATGAAACCAGCCTCAGAGTCGAAAGTTGGGCGAAAAGGATCGAAAACCGGGAGAAGAGGTGAAAAAGGGCCAGTTCACGGTTAACCAAGGAAGTTCACTGTCTTGCATGACCGTGAAGAAGAGCCCTTGACCGTGAATCGCGAGGCGTGCAGAGCCAAAATGGAGGTTACTGACGCAAGGTGAGTTAAGGGTCACTAAGACCGTGAACGAAGGTTGTTGACCGTGAATAGAGGCGATCGACTCGGTATGTTTTGGCACACGCCTGCAGTTCACGGACGCGTTTCGTGGTTCACGGCCGTGAACTCAGCTCGTCTCTGGTTTAAATGATGATCTGAAAGGAGAAGAGAGGGGGAGCCCATTTGGTGTGAAAAGCCTTCTTCAACATTCTTGAGCGAGAAAAACGAACCAAAGGGAGAAGAAGGCTAGGGTTTTGCTTCAAGGCAGATTTTGGGAAGATTTCCACCTCTTTCCCTTTTGTTTTTCCCACTTCCAACATGGAGTATACCTCCTTTCACTTGGGTGTTGTGAAACCCTAACTCTACCGTGTAGCTTTTTCTTTTATGTGTATTGGATGATTGTCATTGGGTATTGTTCAATTCAAGGATTGAGGCATTATTTATCATGATTGTGCATGCTTGTGCTTAGCAACCTAGGGGTTGTGCATGTTTTGTGCTTAGAATCCTTAGGTTTGTGCATTTAGGTACTTAGCAACCTAAGGATTGTGCATAATTGTGCTTAACACCCTTAGGTTTGTGCATGTTGATGCTAGCAATCTAATTAGTCACCTTAGCCTAGTTTAGAGAGGAAAATCCCTCTTTCAAGGGAGACTCAATCGAGTTGGTTTTCCTTCCGCTTTCTAAGCCACCTAACTAGGTTAAGTTAGGGAAACCCTTAATGTTGACTTAAGCAAATTGGTTAATTGCGATTAAACCGTCCGACCTTTGAGTTGAGTGAGGGAGTAAGTATATTACCGATTGTCTAAACCGAGAGGGACAAGTGACACGGCCTTTCATGCTCACCTCGATTTAGCAATTGAGATTGTGGTCTCCGACCATATATGCATCCCTCTGCGGTGCGCGATTACAGTGCCCAAAGCAATCGTTCCAATTTACATATCATGGTAGCAGTTAGGGGGAAGCGACACCCGAGTGATCCTTCCACAAAAGAGTTTCCAAAACCATTTACCTTTGCCTTTTGTTATTTCAATTAGCAAACCTTTAAACCAAAACTTTGTTGGTAGATAATGATTTCAACAACCAAAGTAGGGGTAGACGGACCGCCCGGGTCGGTATCTAAATACTTGCCCTATACTTCACCCGACTGGAGTTTAAAAACTTGGGATCTAGTTGGGGTTTTATTGTGGTGTAGTTTCGTGCGAGTCATAAAGTCACCCCTACAAAGTCAAAACACTACTCCAATCCTCAAGCAAGCCAACCAAATGGTATTTATGTCTTAGATCGATACCAAATTCTCAATGTCAAGAGTCACTCACACCAAAGCCTCGTAATCCAACAATGTAAGAATGAAATGACTCACTCAAGAGGGAGAAGAGCAAATAGTAATTTTTCCTAGTGGTGGTGTGATCTCTTTTGAAGATGTCGTAGCCTTTTAAGTGGGCATGATTGGAATAGGGGAGATGACCTTTATTTATAGAGTTTGTCTATCCTCAGTTATTTTGTAGTATAGGTGACAAAACAGGACCTGATCCGATTAACTCGCCCAATAAATTCGATTCGCAACCTAGAGTTGACTAAAAGTCAATGACCCGTAACTTGCCCGACTCGTAACGCGATCAAATCAAACCTGATTGACCCCCAACATGATTGAAAATGTAACCCAATTAACCTGAATTCAATTGACCCATAACCTGATTTAACCAGTAACCCGATTAACCCACAACCCGATTAACCTGAACCTGATTGATCCGTAACCCGATCGTCCAATGAACTATGGAATGAAGTTCATACGTATCTCAATTAATAGTTCAAAACTGTTAGAAATGGATTGCTATACAATATCTAATACTCTTTAGTAGTTTTCCAACATATTTCCTCAACCATCAAATTATTGACACTCCAAACTTTAATATAAGTGATTCGTTAGTGTATGCTAATGTTTGGAAAATTTGAGTTTAAAATAATTTATTAATAAAATCAAGGGTTAATACCTTATTATGGCCCGAACTATACCCAAATAATCAATTGTGGCACGTTGTTTTAGAAATATCTATCCTGGTCTCAATTATACACCATATAGACTTGATTGGCCGGACGCATGTTTTGACCGTTAATTTTAACGATCAACGGTCCAGCTCAGGGACATGTCAGCACCAAATTAAATAAAAAATTCAAAGTTTTTTTTTATATTTCCAGTT